TGCCAATAAGGGGTCATCGATGTAGGCATAGACAAATGGCAAGCCTCGTAAAACACGTTCAATGGACCTTTGAAACGTTTGGGCAACATTGCGTAAGCCATAGAGCATACGGATAAACTCGAAGAGGCTGAATGGGGTGGAAACGACAGTCTTCGAAATGTCCTTAGGGTTGACCGGAATCTGATGAAAGCTGCGTACCAGGTCTATCTTCGAGAAAGCCGTTTTGCCGAAGAGGGCTCCAGCGAAATCCTGAAGATAAGGCACGGGATACCGGTTGGGAATCGCGGCGTTGTTGAGCGCACGATAGTCGCCGCCGGGTCTCCAGTAGCCGGATGTAGCCTTGAGCACCATGGGAAGAGAGGAAGCCCTAGGACTCTCGGACGGTCGGATAATGCCGAGTTGCAGCATGTGTTCGAATTCCGCCTTCGCGGCCTGCTAACTGGCTGAAGCAAGTCGTAGAGGCCGAGCAAACACAGGAGGGCCTGAGGTGCGGATGTGGTGTAAGACATCACGCTGTACATCACCAGTGCAAAACTGGGAATTAATAATGTTAGGATACTTTCGAAGTAACTCCCGGAAAGGATAGTCAATATCTGTATTGAGGACAGATTAATTGCAAGAGTTCGTAAAGGAAGACAGGCCGTGAATGTAAAGACCGGTGAGGTGCTCAACAAGAAGAGGACGGCGACAGTCAACCAAAGGTAAAAATCGACAAGAAAGTCTGACCCAAGAATGGCTTGGGGAACATCGGTGATAACGAAGATCCAGGAAAACGATCTTCGAAGTCCAATGTCAAGGGTTAGGGACCGGCTGCCAAAAGTTGGAATAGGGGAGCAATTAGCACCCTGGAGGGGAAGACCAATGCTGGGAGATTGACAGTCAGCTGGACTTGGTGGGACTGTAGTGGTCATTGGTTGCCCGACGCCTGACCTTCCTGTCGTGGCCTCAATCCATCTAGAATTCGAGGTCGTGGCGGCCGCCAGACTTACTGGCGTGCCAGACACAGACTGCCCACGTCGATGTTTACCCACACGCTGTTCAACCAATCACAGGCCGACTTAGTCAATGGAATCTCCCTCTCTCTGTCTACTGGCCTCATTGCTGTCAAACCAACACTTGGGCTCAAATGGCTTTCCTAGCCAGTTGTATGCTCTCTAAGCCAAATTTCCTCCCATCTATTCTTCGTTCCTTTGTGATCACAATATATTATTCCTACTACGCTGGCTTCCACCGACTTCTTTTCCACTAGGGAACTATGGTCTGAAGATCGCAGTTGCTAGGGTTTAACTCACTTAACTACCTTTGATAGGACTACTGATAGCTGAGCTCCGGTGTTCACGAGTAAACGTCCGCGACTGACGCTATCACAGACAAAAGTTGTGATTAGAGCTGGAGACGCCAGGCAAATTGGCGGCCATCACCTTTGCGTAGACTGGCTTAACCTGTGTGCTCTGCTTGGAGACGAAGGAGCAAGGGAAGGTGCAGTCACGGGCTCTGTGATACCAGCAAGTGGTAGCTGCGTCGGGACGAGTTGAAGAAAGAGGCTGGAACTGCCGGGGAGTTGAGCACCGTGGGCTCCGAAATGAAGAGGTTGATCGCCGTTAAAAGGAGTTTACTTATTCAGAAAGCTTTGCAATCTCAGTCGTCAGGTGTGCGAGAGCAGACACAGGAGGAATTTTAGGAGTTGGGAGTGCGGCAACGGATGGTTTAGTAAAGCCTTTAAACATCATCAATCGTTGGCCTAGTTGGCTGAGTTGTGCAGCAGTGAGCGAGCCAGAGGCAGGAATCAAGATGTGCTGAATTGCTGGCGGAACGCTGTCCATTGTCAAAACCAGACATTATCGTGGATTTGCACAAACAATGTGTTCGTCCGGAGTCACCAATTATTGAGAGCTATTTGCTGTCTCGAAACCAGTAGGAGCCCCAAATCACAAGTCTGGGAAGACTGAATGAATTCGGACAACCTTACTGCTCAAGAAGCTTTACAGTAGCCTCTGCTGCAAGCACCGCGTACAGAAACCAGCCGAGTCGGTGTGAAAGTGTCTCTGCGCGCGGGTTTAGCGAAGCCTTGTCCAGTCATCAGCCAATCAGGAAAGGGTACAGGTGTTGGCGTCAGAGCTCGAGAGGAATCAGTTAGCTCCGAGCGAGAACGCGTCGACAGCGGTGGCGACAATGTACAAGAGCGCGCAGAGGTAAGAGGAGGAGTCAGCACTGTGCGCGCGGCTAGACAGAGGTTTGGCGGGTGAGGAGATGAATACATGCAGCACTAGCGAATTCAGGCCACCACACCAGATCCCGTTCGATGACGACGAAAGTATCATTCACATAACGCGCCTAGAATTTCGGTCTGTAATTTTGGGAGACCAGTGACTCTAACTATTGTGGGACCGTCTCTGCTATGACGTCCAAAATTGGTGAACTCATTGGTCTTCCCTTTACCTGCTCGTAGATTCCTGAGTAGTCTCTTGGACGGGACTTTAGGCGCTGTAGGACTAAGTTATGTCCGAGGCGTTTCTCCAGCTCATCGTATTTGCTTCGTAGGAGTAGTCCGACGTTTTCGATTGTAAGATCCTAGGGATATAAGTAAAAAAGCAATGTGACATCAAAGGAAGGCATGGTTTCATTGGCAGGAGACTTATCCCGCTAAGTTTCTCCAAGAATTGTGTTGATGAGCGGACCGTGTTCGCCGAATCAGCAGTCAGAAAGTTGAGACGCCGAAACAGCCACTTTGCCAGTCCGTAAGTTGGAGTGCCTTTCAATGATACGAATGGTCGGAGAGAAGCGCCCTCTTTGTGCACTTTGGGGTGGCCAGAGAAGCGGAACAAGGCCATTTCTTGTGCTTTCTCTATGCATCAGTTAGACGGCATCATTGCACCCGAGTTTTCTAACGCCAACGGGTAGAATTAATATCGCATGTCAGCCTCTTGATGGGATTGGATTCACATGGTACATAAAATTGGCGATCCTTCGGTAAGTTTTTGGCTTTGTGAAGGCGACTAATTCTGTACAATGCCACAGTGGAACGCCCCTTGTTGGTTGTTTCTTCCCGGGGTTCATTCGAAACCGTTTTTGGCGTAGTTTGCTCATCCGAGCTGTAGTATTTTACCAAAAAGCCTTGCCATACTTAGAAGGAAATTCTAGGTCCAGTTTGAGCTAGAAAACGCAATTGGTAGAATCGGGTTTTTTATTTAAACAGGACCTTTTATTGTATTTTACTTCTCAACTATGCAAATGTGTGTGATTGCGTGCCCTAGTCACGACTTCAGACAATTCCTTGGTTACGCCTGCCGATATTGTCCTGATGCTTGCGAATACATTATGCGAAACCGCAAAACCGACCTTCGTCTCATGGCGATTAGAGATTTTCAACATATGCAAGGATAATTTTGAATACAATTAGTAATTAGAACTCGTACTCGTCTTCCCATAATGGAGTTTAAAATCAGGAAAATATAAAGAAAATGACTAGGATACATAGAAGAAATTAAGGTCTTACAATTGTGGCAGGTCCACTTTGAGTAGTTGTCTCGAAAGTTTAAAAAATTGCCAAAATCACGAGTTTAGTTTGGGCAGTACCGTGCCAGGAACCAAAAGTACCTAAACATTCTTTCATAGCATATCTTATGAAGCAATTTGTAATGCGTACCCCATCGCAGAAAAGTTTGAATTGTTAAAAAATGTGTTCTCCCTCGATTGTTCTTTTTGATGTTCATTTTTCACAAAGAGTTTTCGTCCTTATTTGAGTCTTGAAATATAAACCAAACGATCACCCACGTAAAAAATCCTTGGAAATGCACTTCTTCTGAAAATTCATTTAAAAAAACTACAGTATTTTAACTGCATTGCTAAATACATAACCCAGACCCAACCTCTCTGAGCAAGAATCTAAGGCACTAAAAACGGTATTCA